TTAAAACAATATATTGAAGAAAGTCATTACAATTTTAACAATATGCATGGTTATACTGAATCCCTGTGCCCAATGCTCACCGGGTTAGGGTTAGGATGTATGCGGTTAGAAAATCCATGTTTGGTTGGGTATTGCGTTTAGTGTTTGTACAAGACCATCAACCCCAAGATACAGAATCATCCCTTAATTGAAATTATACTACATAGGCCTACGTTTTCTTTTAGTTTGTGTAGTTAATACATAAAACTTGATAGAACACAATACGTTATGTTGTGCAATGTTCTATTTAAAAAGTAACTTTTTCTAATTATTGATGTCGTATATTTGAAATGATCCAATTAAACACATTGAACGATTATATTACTACAGAACTAAGGTCCGAAATTATTGCAATATTGTTGAATCAGAAGGAAAAAAATCATTCACCCCCTTGTATTTTAATGGTTTGGTCCGGGCGTGACATCATCCCAAGGCTTGGACTTCGATTACTGACTCTTGTTTTTCTGTTATTGGCAACGTTTTTATATAATACGTTATATTAATATAACAGTCCTTTACTCTTTTATTAATTTGGATCTCAGCGTGAAATATCGGCTCGAGTAATCTGCAAAAATGAAATGGATGTTTAAAGAGGACCATTCCCTGGGTAAGTGTGTTTTTTATTACATCACACATTCACAGAGCTCTCGAGAAAATATTCATATTGTTGGAACCAAGGCTTTTATTTCCGAAATGTCCGCCACTGTTTTGTACGTTTGGTGTCATGTATCTGGCTTCTGTTTTATTGCATTTAACTGCGATGGTGACTTTCAAAACACGATCGCCGAGCAACATGTTTACATTTTATTGGGTTATAAATAAATGAACGTCTCGTGACGCGAAATTATTAAAATTGCGATCGTTTGTAACTATGAATAGGCGTATATATCATCTCGATCAACAACCAAAACCAGTTTAATCTGGGTGAAATTATGAGCAGCTAAACGTCGGTTGTCCCCGGACCGGAACAGTTTGTCATGACAGTTGACAATTTCTGGCCGTCTACAAAAACCGATACTGTAAAAAGGAATTACGTCAGAGGGTTATTTCTGTATTTCCCATATGCAATAAATGTATAATAAAAGTGAAAATCAAATTAGCTTTTCTTCAGCAACGCTGGCTCCTTTATCCCGGAGAATATCCGCACACGACGTACTTGATATCAACTAAACGTGAATATCTGCCTAGTGCGTCGATTCTTAAAAAAGAATGGGAAGGGAAAAATGAATATATCTGTATTTTGTTTCACAAAGGACACTGATGCATAGAGGAAAATGCTTCTATAAGGATCTTCCTTTTTGGAGCTGAGCAGTGTGTCTAAGTAAACAAATTAAAAATCAATGATAGGCTAGACATAGACATCAATTAAAATAATTAAAAGCATGTTCTACACATTGTATCAATGCTGTGGCCCAAGCTTGAATTGTTTGGATCAATATGTCCTTGTGAAAGGTACAGACATTTTTCTGTAAATAGTTCTCGAATCTGGGCTAATTAAACTAAAGGCTGGGGAATCCCTGTGGACGCTGCACTTCTGTTGAGGCTAACATTGAACCACGATTCCCACTCCTTCCCTATAAAAACTACCTATTGCTGAAATGGCACTGATGTTCATGTAATGTATAAAACATAGAAGTAAACACTTCTGAAAAGAAAAAAAAAACAAGCGAAGATGCAGATGGCGAAATATAGTACGAAAGCATGCAAGCACGCTGTGACTGTAATTGCCAGTTGTCCTTCCTTGATCATTAAAAATATGTCTGTCCTCTAACACCAAAAGCTGGGGGGAAAAAATCAATCAACACATCAGTTCACATTATACACAACATGATGTTGCTACACTGTCTATAACCCATTTCATTCAGATATGTAAAACATTCAAGCAGTGAACTTGCCTTCAACTGCTGATAGTTATCAGTGGGTCGACCTGACTAATAATTTAAATGCACATTATCGTTTCAGCAAGTAAATATACTGGCAGGCCCTGATGCAGCTCATCGATTAGCAGTTCACAGGAACATTAGCAATTGATGTTGCAGTCATATTGAAATGACCATCCAGATTTGCGTGTTACCACATCAATGCATAACTGGAGTTACCTCTGCAGGCCAAACTGCGAGCGTTTCAGGTTAATGCTGGCGGATCTTAGGCGGTGACCGTTTTTGATGGGTCGGCGGGATGGCTGTGATGGCACAAGGTCGCTGTGCCGGAACGTGTCTGAGGTGTTTGTGGCTCTGGGTTTGCAGCTGCAGGGTACTGTGGTTGTACATCAGGAAAAAGACATCCTGCTTCTTCCATATTTACTTCGATTTTGTGTTTTTTTTTTTGCCAAGCTATAACATTGCCAAATCTGTAATACACATTTATTTCAACAACTCTACTTAGCAAATGTATTGTTTGAATATAAGTGGGTCATATATGAAGCAGCTGACTGTCAGCTAATTATATGCACTGTAAATTGAACCCTTATATCTAGAGAGCTTTTTTTTCCATGGGACTGCTCTAAACATTCTGTCATTGTATATAATATGGAAAAACATCATCCAATAAAGTTTATTAATAGTCCTCATTTATCAAGTTTATGGTTCATTATAATAATCGTAACTTCCACCGACTCACCCTTCTGTATCTATTCTCTATGACAGATCACCGGTGTGTGGAGTCAGCCAAAATTCGCAACAAATACCCGGACAGGGTTCCGGTGAGTGAATACTTGTATCTGCCTATCTGGGAGGTGGGGGTGGCACACTTTTGTAAAGAACCAAACATTGTAGGCACAGCATTGTACACATGGCATCACTAACTTCTGTGTAAAATTAATTACGATTTTATTTATTTATGCCTGTGATGGAAAGGTCACCAGTTCAGTTCCATGATTGGTCGAGTGATTTCAAGTACAAGGCTCTTAAAGCCAATAGCTTCAGGGACCGTGTGAGCCTGTTTCTTAACTGTACGCTTTGGATAAAACCGCCTGCTAAATAAATAACTCGACATTATATGCTATATATAGCCGTGTCAATATCTGCTGATGCAAAGGAATAGCAAAGAATACACAACAGGCAGGACCATGACAACCTTCATATGGGCTGAGGAGAGCAGCTGTATTCATGTTTTCCCGTGAAATGTTCCTCTGCACCCGTGTTCACACCTTTCAGGTCATCGTGGAGAAAGTGTCCGGTTCGCAGATCGTGGACATCGACAAGCGGAAGTACCTGGTTCCATCTGATATCACTGTGGCCCAGTTCATGTGGATCATCAGGAAGCGCATCCAGCTGCCTTCTGAGAAGGCCATCTTCCTGTTTGTCGATAAGACTGTCCCTCAGTCCAGGTCAGACGCCGACACCCATCCGGCAGCAGCTGTCCCTTTTATTATGACGTTCATACGGTGATACATTAACTTCTGTGACTTTATTCAAAAATGTGTATGATCGTTTTGTCTTTGCAGTATTAGCTAATATTGCTGCAGTATACAACATTAACATATGGGAGCCTTTGCATTAACCAATAGTATTTTCGCTTTTGTTTAAATAGTCAGAGGGACTTCTAGAATGGCCTGGTTGTCATGGCACCAGTCTTTTGGTATGCCATTGTCACAATGGCTGGGCCCTGCACCCTTGCTCATAACACACCTGTCGAACCACTTTGAAACCTAAATACGATATGGTTAATCCCAGCGTCCAAGCTAAAGCAGTTCCACATGAGGTAGACATTAATAATTAATATGTATATTAGAGTCACTGCAACAATTCATACTGGGACTGAAGCTGAAATTCTTAGTGCCAGTTTGGAATCACTTACATTGGGAAATAATTCAAATGTAGATTGTTACATATATGCCATGGCAGTGTACCCATGTTATTTCCTGCCCCCCCCCCCCGATTTGTAGCAACTTCCAGATGAATTCAGAACCAAACCTAAGCAGCTGTGTTCCATATACTGGTATCTTATAGAAGATCACCAGTTCCAAGTGGCCCAGAGGACAGAATCCCAAACTCAACCTCTAAAGTGCAACCACATAATTCTTGATGACACTTCTGAGTGTGTAGTCAGTGCACGATTCTTTATACAGGCAGTTAATCTTTGGGGGCAGCGTGTGGCTCAGTGGGCTGAGCCAGTGTGCCTGTAATCAGAAGGTCACCAGTTCAAACCCAACCTCAGCGGGTCCTTGAGCAAGGCCCTTAACCCCCAGCTCCCTGGGCGCTGCTACAGGTGGCTGCCCTTCACAGACAACTTACTCTACAAAGAGTAAGCTGAGGGAGGCATAAAAACAATTAATAATAAAGTAACAATTATTATTATTTAAACCTCCATGGTCTGGGATTTAGTCCTGCTCTAAAGTTTGCAACCTGACTCGTGTAAATGCAGGTGAGCAGTTTATGAATGGCTTATGTGTGATCCCCACCCCCATCTCCTGCAGCCTAACAATGGGACAGCTGTATGAGAAAGAGAAGGACGAGGACGGCTTTTTGTACGTAGCGTACAGCGGCGAGAATACGTTCGGCTTCTAGAGACGACACCTTCACACCTGCCGTGCTGCTTCCCCACCCAACGCATACAATCACACCCCCACCCCCGCCCCCACCCCCGCAGGCTTCATCAGACATAAACTGACATGTGAAAAACAGAGGAATCATAATGCATTTGTATCTCGGCTTTTCTCCACTGTATTAAAGATGTATACATTAAAATTTGATAATTTATCTTTAGCTGAGATGAACAAAACACAGGATGCTGTTCTCGTTTTTCCAGTTAGCCGTTTTGTAGAAATACCAGAAAAATCAGTATTTTTAAAATTTCCTTATTAACCTTTGTTTTGTTTTGTTTTTTTTTTTTTTGGAGTTATATGAATATATTTAAGATTAAGTTATAACTGAAAGGTAAGGTAGTTGGAAGAATTAACCAATAAAATAAATAGAAAAACAGCATGTCTGCTTCTTATAAACCAAAGCTGCATGTAAGACTGAATTGCACGTGTGGCCCAGAGCGATGGCTTCTTTAGGGTGCTTCCGTGACTCAACGCACCATCCGTAATGCGGGTTCAGATGCACGCTGACCCTGCGCCTTTCACTTGAACTGCAACAGCTGTCGGGGACTGCGCGGCCACAGCGGGAACACCTGCGTGCGCAGCTGCAGCCAGGCCTGCTGGTACGCCTGCGCAGCCTGCTTGTAGTCGCCGTAGGTCAGAAGCTCCCTTGCCCTGTTGGGACAGTCTGCCATCAGGCACGGACATCCACACCGCGCAGCCGAGCAGAAAAGAAAGGGCTCTCTGTAGAAGTATATCAAACACATGCTCCTCCCCCCACCCAGTCTCCAAGCCCCAAACCTGCTCTTCATCAGCCAGGTCAAATATCCTCACTTCTCTCCTAGCCAAGGATTCATTTCCTGTTTGTGAGCCCCAGATGATGTGTAATGTCTGTGGGCCCCTGTGTGAGGGTGTGTGGGTTGGTGTAATGTCTGTGGGCCCCTGTGTGAGGGTGTGTGGGTTGGTGTAATGTCTGTGGGCCCCTGTGTGAGCGTGTGGGTTGGTGTAATGTCTGTGGGCCCCTGTGTGAGGGTGTGGGTTGGTGTAATGTCTGTGGGCCCCTGTGTGAGGGTGTGTGGGTTGGTGTAATGTCTGTGGG